AATGGCCCGGGATGGGTGCATGATTTTTGGGTGGGAGTGTGCTGCCATCTGCTCCCTCTTGTAGCTTTTCCTTTAAGGCTCCAGCTGTGTGGACAGAATGTCTGAACCCTGTAACATTGATCAGTCGTTTCTTTTCTTTTCAAGGTTGAGAAAAATTGACAGCATCTTCATTTTTGGGAAGCCAGAGGTGTCTGTCCTGTCCATTGGCTCGGACACTTTTGACATCTATCGATTATCTAATTTTTTAGCTGCAAAAGGATGGAACTTGAATGTCCTACAGTTCCCACCAAGGTGAGTGTGTGGAGACCAGGGAGTGATGTATTTACTTCAGGCCATGCAGCTCTTGTGATTTGCTGAGTACTGTTGTCCATAGCTGATAAATTGTATGTAGAATTTTCCTCTGCAGACAGGAATCACTTTTGTAATTGCCATTATACAGCAGTGAAGATAAAGTATTAATAATTTTAATGAGCCTGGCAGAGGATTTTCTATTTGCCTCCATCTAATGCAAGCAGAAAAATATAAATAACCAAGGCTCTGTCTTATGTTTAGTTAACTGAGTGTTTCTAGATTGATTTATTTATTTTTATGGTCTTCCTCCTGCCCACTGAAGATGAAGGAAATTAAAACAACAGTGAAGGGCTGATCATTTTCAATGTAAAATTAATCTTTGTCAGAGACTTTCCTTAAGTGGGAAATTGGGCTTTTGTGGGCAAAAGTGGTCAATGCTCCCAGATGCAGCTGCACTGAAAAAAATTTTGACTGGCTGGCCATGTGATGTAAAGTCCAGAGAGCCTGAGGTGATAGCTCAGAGGTGGGTGCTTCCTTCTGGTGATGGCTTAGAAGCTGCAGAGGAAGGAGAAGGAAATGATAACAGGGGTCACTGTGCTTGCAGGCAGCTGCATTTTTCTCACCAGACATACCTGGAATGAGGTGAGAAACTTTAACCTAATTGTGAAGTCAGGAAAGAAGGAAGAAGGAGCTGGTTCTAGCAAGCATTCCACAGGGATTACCCTTAGTGGGAATGCTGTTTCAAGGAGATCCAGTTACCACTGGCCACAGAAGGGCTCAGCTGCTGTTGGGGGCTCAGAAAACATGGAGCTGTGTGTACTGTGGGTGTTTAATGTCTGCTCTGTGCCCTGCCTGCCCAGCATCCATCTCTGCATCACGCAGCTGCACACCAAGGCCGGCGTTGCTGAGCAGTTCCTGAGGGATGTCAGGGACAGCATCCAGGACATCATGAAGGACCTCAATGCCAAGACCACGGGCATGGTGAGGAGGCCAGCACGCAGTGAGGGGGTGTTTGGGCTGAGGGTGTTTCTCCTGTGTAACAGCCTCTCTTCTCTGCTCAGGGAGCCATCTATGGAATGGCACAGTCCGTCCCCGACAGGAGCCTGGTGGCAGAGATTTCCCAGGCCTACCTGGATGGCCTCTACAGCACGGATGTTCTCAGCAGTGAAAAGCACATGAACGGCTCTCCCAGCCACCACTGACTGTAGTGCAACAATCTGTGCCTTGCCAGCCAGCACTGGGGTGGTTCCAAAGGTTTCCTAGGGAAAGAGATTGCAGTTCCTTTGTTCCTACAATTGCAGGTCTGAGAGTGGCTTGATCTGGAAGAATTCCTTCCCTGTCTTAGTCTGTTCGAAATCTGCATTGTTTTCATGCCCAATTTGTTTTAGGGCTTTTCCTCCCTCCCCCCTGCCTGTTTTCATCATGGCTGTTGATGGTGAATTGAATGTCCATTCCACAGCTCTGAATTCCTCAGGTACTCTGCACGTCCCTTCATTCCATGTTGTTTCTCCTTCTCCGACCTGGTATTCAGCCAGTGTCCAGCCAAGTGTTAAATTTGAGTTCTCACATTGTGCTCCACAGCTCCAGTCTTCCTGGAAGCTAATGGCAGACAGTAAATTGGAAATTTTGTTTTCTCTTGAGTATTGCTGTAAGCTGCTGCATTTAACAGACCGTGCTGGGAGCCTTATAGCTGTGTAATGCAGAGTGATAAATTGGCAGAGGGAAGGTAGTCATGGCCTCCCTTTGAAATCTGAGTGAGACTGCAATCAATATCTGCTGAGGGGGAGAAAAAAACAACACAAAATTCTTTCCTGGAATCTCTTGAACAACAGCAGAAGCAGAAACCAAGCAGGTGGTGTGGGGAGAGGAACTGGATGGTACTGAAAACCCCGGGTCCATCGTGGCTGTTCTGCTCCCCTGCCTCTTGCAGAAGACATGCATTGACCACCCAGGAGTGCTGTGATCCCTTGCACAAATCTGGAGGGAGGTGCAAAGCTCATTTCACTGTTCAGAACTTGAAGGTTTTACGCTGTCCCCTCACGATGCTGTAGCAGAGCCAGCCAGGGACGTCGTGCGCAGACGGTTTATTTTTTACCACGGTCTTTTAGTATCAAAAAGGTGACTTTTGTAATAGCAGTAATCTCAGTTCTTTGCACTGATTCTTTTAAGGCACATTCTCAAAAGGGCATTCACCATTGTGCCTTGATGCTTCTCTGGCTTTTTCTTTTGTGGCATGCCAGGGAGGGTTGGAGGGTTCAGCTGTTTGACCACGACCTTGGTTGCGGTCGTTTCTTTATGGTACTAATTCTGAAAACAAACCTCAAAGGCAGGCTGGCCTCAGAGGAAGCACCCTTGCCTGTTAGGTAGGATAGTAGTTGTAATGAGCCAAGTCCCTTCACAGTATTACAAAGATGCTGGGAGAAGCAGAGGAAAGGATGCAGCACGTTGGAGCTGTTCCAGCCTTGGGCACGTGGCTCAGCCTTCGTATTTTTCCCCACTGTTTTTAGGGTGAGAGAGTTTTCCCAGCACAGCCTTGTGGCCTCAAGGGCAAGCCAGAATCTCTCAAGTAGCCTTAGAGTTATTCCTGCAGGGCTTTCCCATGTTTCCTCTCAGCTTTTTGCATGGAGCAGAGTTTCCCAGGCAAAATCCCACACGTGGGTGAAGATTTCATGCTGTGTCTGCACAGTTCTGTGCAGGGCATCTGAAGGCATCTCTCAGCTCCAGCCTGTTAGCCTGAAGCTGACCCTGGCTGAAGCCCAGGAATTTTAAGCAATGAGGTCATTGACCAGCTCCTGCACAGACCAGCCCAGCCATTGTGGGAAGGATCCTGGCTTTCCAACAGCTTTATTCCCTGTGCTAGGAGACACAAGCATTGTGGCCATCTGCCCTGAGCTTGGTGACTTCATGTGAGTCTCTGAGCCCTTTTGAAATCATTGAATTGCCTGAGAGTCTCTTGATGGTGATATCAGCTCTGGCAGTTTGTATTGGACCCATTTATTCTCTAAGGTCTTGCCAGTGTGACCATTACTGTATCTCTGAGTTTGGAGACAGTCCTCAGTGTCTGGCTACTGTGATGGTTCTCTTTGGAACCGAGATTTAACAAAACAAAAAAAAGGGAGGTACTCTTTTTGTTTTTGCTTTAAAAGAAAGAAGGGGTGGATTGGGGTGGGCTGAAGGAGAGCGAAACTCCCTTCTCTTCCTTCCCTGGTTGCATTTTCCTCCCAGGAAGTAGGTGGATCTAACAGATCAGTGCTCCATTTCACATTTTTGGATGTATTTGAAGATGTTATTTGTAAGTCAGTGTATTCTATTCTGGGCTTTGCTTATTAATAATATTTGTGGGTTTAATTGTTCCATGTGTATTTGTCCTGTACTGTAAATGTAATCCTGTGGTCGGGAGTAGGCCACTGTAATTCCCTGGTGTGTAGTTTTTATTTATCCTTGTCACCTAACATGTAATCTGCATCTACTTTATCATGCCAAATGGTCCTGGAAATACGGATTTACAGGCTGTGTGATTGTTTTAATGACAAAAAAGAGAAGAAATTGATGAACTGGATTATGATCTGCAACTGGACGGTACTTTTAGACCTGGAGGGATCCTTGCCACTGTTAATTCCTGCAGGATTTTCTAGTTTTCCAAGCAGGACACTCACTTTATTGCTTGTACAAAGCACTCCCAAGGGATTCACCTGTTTTTAGGTACTAGAATGAAGAATATCCAATGGGATGGACCAAGAAGAGATGTGTGTCTTCATGCCATGGATTTCATCTGCACTTTTCTGATGACTCGGGGGAGAGGGGAGCGGAAGGGTTGCGTACAACACAATAATACCTTGCCCAATAAATCCACAAGGACTTTTTAATGGACAATTGAGATGAGTTGATCTGATGGCAGTTTTCTGCTTTGCTCTGATTTGCCCCTGGTCGAACTGGAGGCTGAAATAGCTGGAGAGATGGTGAAAATGGGCCTGGTTTGTATTAAAATGGTGCATTTAGCTATCTAGGCTCACTGAGCTCTTATTTTTCTGCTTCAGTGCTTGTTTGAATGAATGTGGACCTGTTGTTCCTGGAATTTGCTCATGCTCAGCCTGGTCTGTGGCAGGGAGGATGGTTTATGAATCTCACTAACTCTGCCTGAGGGCTGCTCTGCCCTTCTATCAAAATGAAGGTGGTGTCTGTGTCTGCATCTTGTGTGTGATGTTCAAGGATGCTGGAAGTTAAGAGCTATGGATTTTCTATTAATACTTTGTATAACTTGAAAGGGTTAAAAAAAGAGAAGCAAAAAAGACTTGAGCTGGGTGTTTGTAGTGTTTTTCCCCAGACTGTTGTGCTGAAAGCAAATGCTGTTGGTTTCACATGATCAGTGAAGATCCTGTACCACCAAATCCACCCACAACCTCTTTTTGGGAAGTATTCCACCCTAAGCAACCCCTGCCCTGGTGCCATGCTGCCTTTGTGCCTTTTGGTTGTCCTTTCCCTGTGTTTCTGCCTTGGCACAGCTGTGATTTTACACGAGCAGTTTTTACCTGCCCTGGCTTTGATCTCTCTTACTCTTTCAGACCCCAGTCACTCTGAGGTGAAGGCACCTGCCATTTCTGTGAAGTTTTTTTGTGGCAGCAGCACCTTGAGAGCAGTCAGGGCAGTACCTGCCTTTGGGGAAACCTGTTGGTGTCATTTGGTCAGTGAGGCCTCTTTGCAAAGAGCCATCAGGTTAAATGAGATGTTTATTGTAAACATTTTCAGTTGGTATCCTGTGAAAGGCGGGGGTGAGACCACGTGCCTGATGTAATACTGCTGGAGAGGGGTCAGTGACAGACTGCACAGCACTCTGCTGCTTGGGTACAGAGAAGCCAGAGGGGTCACAAAACAGGTTTTGGGCAGAAAGCACATTCCAGGAGGTAAGGAGCAGTGATGGGGCAGGATGGGGGCAGATTTATGGTGCAGTGGTGTAACTTGGCTCTGGAAGGACATTAACCTGTTGGAGCGAGACCAGGGGAGGTCCCAGGATGATCAGAGGGATGGAGCACCTCTGCTGTGAGGAAAGGCTGAGAGAATTGGGATTGTTCAGCCCAGAGAACAGAGCCTTTGGGGTGATGTCACTGCAGCCTTCCAGTGCCTGAAGGAACTGACAAGAAACATGAAGGACTTCTTACAAGAGCATGTAGTAACAGGACAAGGGGGAATGGATTCACACAGAATAGGTTTAGATAGGGTATTGGAAAGAAATCCTTCCCTGGCAGGGGGGGCAGGCCTGGCACAGGGTGCCCAGAGCAGCTGTGGCTGCCCCTGGATCCCTGGCAGTGCCCAAGACCAGGCTGGATGGGGCTTGGAGCAGCCTGGGACAGTGGAAGGTGTCCCTGCCATGGCAGGGGCTGGAACAAGGAGATGTTTAAGGTCCCTTCCAACCCAAACCATCCCATGACTCTGTGATATGACTGACTCCTGGAAAGGAGCTCAGCAGCTGGGGGTGTGGGATCACATAGCTAAGGGTGTGATTCCAAGGATGGAATCTGCAAGATCAGAGATGGACACGTGCACCCTGAGAAGTGCCTCCATCCATCCGAGCTGCGCTGGGGGGCTGGCGAGGTGTCAGGGCTGTCTGGAACCAGGATCTAGCTTGGGAGTGGGAAGAGGCTCTGGAGGCAGGACACAGTGGCACAGTGGGGTTGTGGCTGCGTGGATCCCTGCTCAGGCCAGGGAAGCTGCCACCTGCTCGATGAAGCTGGCCAGGTTGATGTCTCGCTCCGACAAACCCCCGCAGTCGTGGGTGCTCAGGGTGATGTGAACCTAAGGCAGACAGACAGGCCCAGAGTTGTTGACAGAAACAGCAGGGCTGCTTTCCTCAGTGCTGCGTCTGATGAGACAGTAGCTCCAAACTTGTTAGCAAAATTCCCTGGGGTGGCAGAGGCACTCTGGCACTTTGCCTGCTTTTTCTCCTTCCTGCAGCTCATGCTGGCCACAAGCTGTCACTGCCACCCCTGCCTTGGTCACAGCAGCCACCTGTGCCCATTTTCAATTCACTCTTTTCCCCAGAAGCTTTTCCTGTGGCTGCTACTTGATACAGATTTTAAAAAGCAGTGCTGGTGCCAGCCTTTGTCAGCTACTGCTCAGCTGGACGGGATAAAAGGAGGAGGAAAGGTTCTGTGGTAGCTGTAGGCTGGCTGTGATATGAGAATAACATCTGAGAGAAGAGGTTCTGCTGATGAGAACAGCACTTGCTGCTCCTCTTTTATCCCTCAGAAAAGCGAGCTGCTCCCTGAAGTGCTCTGCTTTGTCCCCACCATCCTGTTTCTTACCTTATTGTACACATTGAACCACTCGGGATGGTGATCCAGTTTTTCTGCCTGTAGAGCCACTCTGGTCATGAAGCCAAAGGCCTGCAGGGTAAGAAGAAAAGTTAACTCATTTACCCTGCAACATATTGGTTTTCACACCCATTGCTGTTAATTTTACACTGTCTGTGTCTACAAAACCCAACCAAATGCAAGGCCTGGGCTATTCTGGGAGTTTTCTGTGGGTTTTCCTCTTCCTGAGGAGTGTTTACCAGACAAACTCTGTGCTGGGTTGAGCCCTTTGGTGTCTCGGGGAGGTTATTTTGCTCAGCCATCCCATTTCAGGAGAGACACAGAGGGCTTTCTTTGGCTGAGCTCTGCAAGCTGGGTGTCCCAGTCTGCAGAACTCCGTGCCCCTGGTGCTCGTACCCGGTTGAAGTCCTTGAAGTGGAACTCTTTGAAGATGGCGTCTCTGCCTTCCACCTCGTTCCACCCCACGGCTCTCAGGTTTGGCAGCAGCTGCTCCCTCTCCTCCGTGCTCAGCCTGTGGGCTTTGCCTGCCTGGAAAGGGAAGGAAGAGGAGCAGGTCAGTGTGGCAGAAGTGGGATGAAGCAGGTGTTGAGAGCAGTGAGGCATCCCATGGGTTAAGGAGCTGTAGCTGCAGAGTGGGTGGGAGGGTTGGAATATCAGTGTCCTCTGCTCCCTGCCTGGAATCCATCCTGCATGTACCAAGGAAGTCCAGCTGGACCCTTCTGTCCTCTCACCTGCAACACCTCCCACAGTGCCTGAGGTACTAGGAAACGATACCTGTGGGAAGTCAAACTCCAAAATACATTTTCTTTTACATATAATCTTCCGGGGGAAAAAAAATACAAACCAACAACTTAAAAAGCAGAAGCTCTTGTGATCATTTCTAGATCCAAGAGTTGCTTTAGGGTTCCTGAAGCAGCAGGGCACATTTATTTATTTATTTATTCATTTATTGGGAGCCTGCTTTTGAGGAGAAAGAAGTGGTGTGGATCAGAGATGAGTCACACTAAGCTGCAGTTCAGCTCCTTTCCCCCCCTCTCCTTTATATCACAATGGATTTTAAGAGGCTGTTTCTGCCTGTGAGGAACAAAGGGCAGAGGGAGGGATTGTGGTTGAGCTCTGCCTTGGGCAGAGCTGTTGGTACTTAGTTTTTAAGGGGTGGTGGTGGGGAAGCAGCAGTTCTTGGCTTTGAGGAGTGTTTATAGGCAGAGATGAAACTAAAATGAAGCTCTTGGGGATGGGGGCTTCCTGAGCCAGCTCTGCTCTGGCTCGGTGGGGAAGGCAGGAGCAACTGCAAAGGGACACTGCTCTCTGAAATGTTATGTTCTGGCAATTAAAATTCTTTCACAGAATCACAGATTGTTCTGAGTTGGAAGGGACCCACAAGGTCCAGCTCCTGGCCCTGCACAGGACAGCCCCAAGAATCTCACCATGTGCCTGAGAGCATTGTCCAAGCACTCCTTGAGCTCTGGCAAGTTTGGGTGAGTTTGTCTTTCCAGCTGGTGATGATAAAGAGCTCCTTGCAATTTATTTTCCTTTCTGTGCTGTAGAGCCAAGTGTGTCAAGTTGGATATGAGTCTTGACAAATCTGGCCTAGATTTTTTTGTGGGTATTTGATCAGCAGCCCCTTGAGATGCTTTGCTCGGGCATCAATGCTCAGAAATGGCATTGGGCAGCAGAGGCAAATCATCCCCTCCTGTGGTTCCTGTTCTCACAGGCTGCACAAAACCAAAGAACCAGCTGTGAAACTGATGTTTTTGTGGTTGGTTCTGGCATGTTTTGGGGAAGACTGGAAAGATGAGACCCCATTCCCGTGGCTGTGTGGGTGCCTACCTGTCTGTGTATCCCTGCCCTTAGACTGCACGGAATGGAGAGCGCTGGGGGTGGGATGCTTCCTGTCCCCTGGCTTTGCAGCTGCAGGATTTTTGGGGAGGGTGTTCCTTGGATGACCCCCTGGCAGCCCTGGCTCTGTCACCCCCCCTCCCCACCCCCTAAATGTCAGCGGCTCGCTGTGCGGGGAGGGGAGGCAGTGAGCAAACATGAGCGAGCTCAATAAACCCGGAGCCGTTGCCCTTCCCCGCTGATGGTGTGATAAGCCGGGCACAGGTAGCTTAGCAACTGGATAAGGAAGGGGCAGAGGATGGCTCTGCTGGCAGGGAGCCACCCTGCTCTGATGGGAACAGGGCAGGGGCTGCACCAGCATTTGGGACCGGGGGCTGAAACCGGCTCCTTGTCGGTGCTGAAGAGAGGAAAGGTAAAAGCTGGAGCTGTAGCTTGGAGCAGAGGGGTATGGATGCAGAGGGCTGGGTTCCAAACCAGCCTTCCCCGGGCAGAGCAATAAAGGGACGTGGTGTAATTGTTCTTTTTCTCCGTTGTGGCTCTGTGGGAGGATGGCCCCCGGGCTTTTTCCAGCCCAGCTCCTCCCAGCAGCAGCGGGAGGCATGGCCAGGCTGAGGTTTGGCATCCAGAGCCAACTCCTCTGGCTATGTCAGAGGGCAAACCCTCCGCCTGGGGCACCCCCTGCCCTCCATCCTGCTCCAATCCATCCTTCTCCATCCCAGGACATCGGTCAGCCTGCTGGTTTTGTCAGGATGGCATGTTAATGCTTTCATGTGCTCTCACTCCTTAAAAACACACTCTTCTCGTTAGGGAAATGAAATTATTTTGATTTCTTCTGCTGGCTTTCAACTGCCATAAAGTTCAGATTTTAATTTTTGGGGTTTATTTTTTTGCCAGCAGGAAACCAAGTCGATGCATTGTGCAACTGAGGGAAAGGAACCAGCAAGGGAAATTGGGAGAATCTGAACCCTCTTTGATCTAAAATCTTCCCTTTTAAAGAATCATGGAATGGTTTGGGTTGGAAGGGGCCTTAAAGATCATCCAGTTCTACCTTCTGCCATGGGCAGGGACACCTTCCACCATCCCAGATTGCTCCAGCCCTGTCCAGCCTGGCCTTGGGCACTGCCAGGGCTCCAGGGGCAGCCACAGCTGCTCTGGGCACCCTGTGCCAGGCCTGCCCACCCTGCCAGGGAAGAATTATTCCTTAATGAAAGGTAGAACTTCCACCTAGCAGAAGGTACAGGGCACAGCCCTGGGCGGGCGGGCAGGGCAGGAACGCTGTATTCCACCAGGCTCTTTTGCTGCGGTGGAAAAGCCGATTTCCAGCGGGAAAAATGGAGCACACGCGGGGGTCGTCCCTGCCCTACAGATTGTGAGGAGGGGTCGTTGCTGGCGGATCCTTTCCCTGCCCCTGGCCGAGGAGCGAGCGCTGCCCTGGCAAACCCGGCAGCAGCCTCCGCGTTACTGATTAACCCCGGCGCTCGCTCCTTCCCCTTCCCCCTGCCTCTCCTCGCAGCCTGCCCGAGCATTTCTGCCTCGGAAAACGCAGCCCGAACAGCCGGCCTGCCCGGCGGCCACTCACCATGCCCGCGGCTCCCGGTGCGCTCCGGGCGATGCTCCGCGCCCGATCCCGCCGGGGTCCCGCGGCTCCTCCGGGACGCCGGGAGGCGTGGCGGGGACACCGGGTCCTCCCCCGGCCGGCCGAGCCTTCCCTGCGCTGGCCGCCTGCCTGTGGGGCTCGGCATGGCCGGACCCGGGCTCCTGGAGCCCTGCACGACAAGGTGTGGAAGATGTGTGTAAATTCGTGCTCAGACTGCGGTAATCTCACCTGATAAAATCCTGGCGTACCAAAAGAGAATTCCGGGAAATTCCCTCTGATGAGATTACAGCAATGTGTGCCAAAATCCTAGCCTGAATGTTTGTCCCCAGAAATGTATATTCCAGGGGATTGCTCTCGTCGGATGGGAGGCATCTTTGATAAGCATCACCAGCAACCACAAACTAAGTGATAGAAATTCAAATACCAGGACAACACTACCTCCAGAAACTATATTCCAAAGAATTTTTCGTCTGACCAGACTCCTGCACGAGGGATATTGATAAGCATCATCAGAAAACTTTCCCGGAAAGTCTTTTTCTGACAGGATTCCAGCAATTATCCACCAGTTCCAGAAAAACACAATGATATGCTAAAGAAGAACCCTTTCCAGGGTATGGAAAACTGTACAAAGATAATATGCTAAAAAAAGAACAGTTTCCAGGGTCTGGAGAACCATATAAAGATAATATGCTAAAGAAGAACCACTTCCAATATGTGTTATGTTAGAAAGTTATGTAGTGTTAATTTTCTTAAGTCGTGTGTTAAATATAGTTTTAGGTTATAACATAATGTTAAAATAGAAACTACGCTATATAGGATACTTTTTTTAAGAGAGGACTCGCATCAGATAGCAGCCACAGGATACCTAAATCTTTCAGAGAAAAAGAATTTATTGCTCCCTTATTGAGTTCTTCCTGCCTCTTGCTCAGCCCTGAAGACGGTGTCAGGATTCAGAGGAAAAAGCTGACACTGATCAGACAGAATCCTTTTTCTGAATGGAATTTATGCATCATGTGTGAGGTGTATGAATATGCAACAGGCTTTTAAGGGTTAATCCTCTGTTAACTTGTGTCCTTTTTTGGGCTTATTTTGCCCAGAAAAAGGTACCCGGACGTCAGTAACTCTTTGTTTCTTATTGTCTCATATTGTCCTAAATCCTAATTGTCCAAATTTTTATTACTCTAATGATATTATTTTATAACCATTTTATAACCATTGATAATCACTGATAACCATTGATAATCACTGATAGCCACCAATAACCATCGATAATCACCGATAACCATTGATAATCACTGATAACCATCGATAATCACTGATAACCACCAATAATCATCAATAATCACCGATAACCGTCGATAATCACCAATAATCACAGATAACCACCAATAATCACCGATAACCACCAGTAATAACCGATAACCACTGATAATCACCAATAATCACCAATAACCACTGATAACCATCGATAACCACTGATAATCACCAATAATCACCAATAACCACTGATAACCATCGATAATCACTGATAGCCACCGATAATCACCAATAACCATTGATACTCACCAATAATCATCGATAATCACCAATAACCACTGATAACCATTGATAATCACCAATAATCACTGATAATCATTGATAATCACTGATAACCACTGATGACCATCATTAATCACCGATAGCCACCAATAATCACCAATAACCATCGATAATCACAGATAATCACCAATAACCATTGGTAATCACCAATAATCATTGATAATCACCGATAACCACTGATAACCGTCGATAATCACCAATAATCACTTATAATCATTGATAATCACCGATAACCACTGATAACCATCGATAATCACTGATAACCACCAATAACCATCTATAATCATTGATAACCACCAATAACCAATGATAATCACCGATAATCACCAATAATCAGTGGCTGCGCTGGCCGGGACAGCCCAGTTATACCAACTGAGAGCCCTGCAAATGGGGGAGAAGAAGTAGTGTCCCACACAACATTTCTGAAGTGTCCCACACAACATTTCCCAGCATTTTTAAGGCATTTTCTGCCATTACCGAGGGAATGTTCACGGATGCTGAGTGCTGCTCCCTGGCCTTTTTCCTCTCCAGGCCAGATGGATTCGTGCCCATGTCCTGCAGCTCGTCGTCTGCTCAACTCACTCACATGATGGGCAGTGTTCCAGTGCTGACCATTTTTTATTGTGCTGGTGTATGTGGCAGACAGAAATTCAGCCCCCTGCTATTCCCTCGTGGCTTTCTTCACCTCTGAAGCAACTAATTCCAAATTTATTTTTTTTTAGTACAGGATGATATACACCCCTTGTATATACTCTTGTGCACATTTTGTTTTCCACTGTAATGGATTTTGGGTACTGCAGGGATGATTTGTTTTTCCAGCAGGCAAGTTAGAGGGAAGTAAATCCTTCCTTTCTTTTTTTGATTTTTTTTAAATTTTTTTTCCTCCCTCTGTAGGTTTGATCGCCAAGGTAATGAAAAGGAAAAATGACCATCTTTTGTGTCCTGGGAAATCCTGAGTGTCTGTCCAGGGAGGAAAGACTTGGAGAGCAATGAAACACCTCAGAAGAAAATAATTTTGTGCAGATTCTGGGCTGGAAGCTTTGCTGTGCATGGCAAGAGGAGGTGTGCTCTGATTCATTCAGCAATGAAATCAGGAGGTGGGGCTGCTGGTAGGGCTGGGAAAGGGCAGCAGAATATTTTCTTGGCCTTAGTTGGAAGTGCAGGATTGGCAGTTCCACCACAGCCCTGTAAATAAGTTTGAGCAGGTGAACTGAGGGCAGCTGGGTGGGTGGCAGTGCCTCTGGTGGCCTCCCCATTGATCAGGAGATGGGCAGGAAGCAAATCCCTCATGTTGCCTGGCTTTCCCTTCACTGGATTTTCCTCCAGCCTGCCTGGGAACTGATCCTATTTCCCTTGGCAGCATGTGTGCTGCCAGTGCAGAGTGACTGATGGCCCCCCCAGCTCCCTAGGAGTGGGGAACACCAGGAGAAACAGGATTCCTTCCCTGTCTTCTGGCTGCTCAGCTCCTTTGTACTCCCGTTTTCCCTCCTGGGTGGTAAATCCAGCTTTAAATGCAAGGTTCAAGGGAGGGGTCTCTTGCAGAGGGTCCTAAAAAACAACAACAGGGCAGTTGAGGTTTTCCTCACTCTACAGTTTTGAATTGTGTCCAGGAAAATCCTTTGGCTGACTCCAACTCCTGAACCTCTAAGTTCCCCTTCTGCACAGTTTTAATTTCTCTTTCTGAAATGGGATCATTTAGGTTTGTTTTTAATGATTAATTGAGGGGTGTTGGGCAAGGTGTTTGCTCAGAGCAGTTTGCACCCTGTGCAAGGGGTGAACCTGTTTACTGGAAACAGATTTGTGCTCTTTTCCCCTCTCATTTTTGTCTGTTTTACAGCTGTGCTGCTTTTGGTGGCAGCTAAACCCACATGTGTACAGGACTCTGAATATTTGGAGGGAGGTCTCATGTCACTCACTACTGGAATTCTTATTTTGTCAATAACTTTTTAACAAAACATATCTGACCCTGGAAGCTGCTTTGCTTGGCAGCAGTGCTCTGTCTTCCATCTCAAAATTTGCTTTTGCAGGGGTGGATGGGATATTGGGAAGAAATTCTTCCCTGTGAGCATGGGGAGGCTCTGGCACAGGTTACCCAGAGAAGCTGAGACCCAAAGGTTGTTTTAAACCAAACTCTTTCATCATCTGCAATCTGAAACATTGCTCTCATGGCAAAATAGATTTAATTAAAGGGTTTGTTTACCACTGAAGGGGATTTATGGCAGGTGTGACAAGTTTAAGTTGACAAAAGGGCCCAATAAACAGAAATGAATCATTAATTAATTGTGTGCGAGATTTCCTCTTGTAGCAGTGTTTTATCAAAATCAGTGAGGCTCTCAGAGCAATGAACAAAATAAATTGGAGGCTGGCAGAAACTGGGGCTTTGTTCTGCTCACACTGTGTGTCAGGCTAAGGTCTGTTGTCTGAGGCAGAGTATTCTGCATGGAAAACAAGATGGAAAAAGTAGCAATAAAATGGCATAACCACCTCTAGTATGTCAGACACACAAATCCCAAAAAGGGAGGTGACTGCTTTCAGGAATATCAGAGCATATAGGAGTGAGCAGTGATTCATTGAAGGGAGGTCCTGGTTGGATATTAGGAAAAAGTTTTTTACGGAAAGGATGATAAAGCACTGGAATGGTCTGCCTGGGGAGGTGGTGCAGCCACCATCCCTGGATGTGTTTAAAACAGACTGGATGTGGCACTGGGTGCCAGGGTTTAGTTGAGGTGTTGGGGCTGGGTTGGACTCAATGACCTTGGAGGTCTCTCCCAACCCAGCCCAGTAATTTTGTGAATTCTGTGAGAAATCTGAGTTTTGCTGCAGTTTACAAGTGGCTTTGGATAAATTGCTTAACCATCCTCAGCTCCCATTCCCTGTGCTGCGTGGGATACTCGTGCCCAGTTTACTGGGATGTCTCATGAATTATCTGGTATTTGGGAAGCTCTTAAATGCATGTAGCTCACATGTAACAATGAATGTGATCCTCCTTTTACATCAGAAGAACAATAATTCAGCACTGAACACTTTTGTTTTGATTTTCCTGAGACTGAATTCACAGAGACAAGTGACAAAGGAATATGATTCACCAGATTCATGACTCCTTCTGAGGTTTCCCAGAGGAGGATGATGATGCAAACCTGAGTGCAAAGTATCCAAGAGCACTTTGCTGTGGATCCCTTCTCCTGTGTCAGACTGGTGCTGGAAGACACCTCCCGTTCCAAGCCAATTCTGGCATGGTTTAGATTAGGAAACTCAGGGTTGGGACAGAATAATCCTGTTTGCATTCTGTGTTTGCCCTGGAACCAAACAGAAGGGCTCTGGCAGCTGATGTACCCCTGTCACAGGTGTTTTCTGCTGGATTCCCAGCAGTGTGCCCTTTGGTCTGTAGCAGACAGCGGTGAGATCACAGAGCTTGTGGCCTTGCCAAGGTCACCCAGGTCCTAAAACAGGACTCATTTACCCCAGGGGAAGGCAATCCATCCAAACTGCCTTGTTTGGGCTGGTTTGCTGATGGATTAGTCCTGTAACCCTGAGCTTCCCTGGGCACAGCTGCAGCCCGGCTCAAGGGAGGCTCCTTGTATTCATTCAGCTTGTTTCCTCACTTTCTGCCCAAATTTCTTTGTTTCAGGTTGGATTTTCTGCCAAATTCGCAGGGGTGGCGGAGGGGGAGTGAGTGTCTTGAGAGATCTGGAAACGTTTTCCCATGTGAAGGAGTTCTGTTCCCTGTTTATTCAGGGAGGGCTCGGCGCTCCATGTCCAGCGGCTGCTGCACAGCCCCGTCCTGTCACTAGGGG